AGAGCTTTAAATACCAAAAAAAAAAAAGTCCATAGAGAGAACTTTGTAGGATTGTAATAGAAGTTTTGTTTTAAAGTAGATTCTTATGTTTTTTAGTTTTCTACTTATTCCTTGGTGTAACTGTCCAAGTCCACTGTTTGCATATATTCTCTTCTTTAGGCTTTTCTTTTCGGACTTCCCTTCAAAGTATTTGGGTTTTTCCTTATGGGCTTCCTAATTATACATCTACCAGGGATAGGTTTCCACACCTTTATAAAAGGTGTTTCGTTCTCCTCCCCAATTGATCTGGAATATCACACTACGATACAAGTGGGAGTTTTCTTTGAATCGATGAGTGTTTCACTAAAATACTCGTTCCTTTGACTTGGGGCTGACAATCACTTTGAATGCTTTTAGTTTACACGTTATTCATTTGTTGAGTATCACATCCATCTTATTCTTAGCAGATTGTGGAAAGCATCAGGAACTATCTGAACATCACCCCCAGCCCACCGACCTTCATTCAGGTGCTCAAATTACACTTTCTTCCCGTGAATGAATGCATATTTTCAACCTTGACACATTATACAACTAACAATCCTAGTTATTCAGGCAGCACTTCCACAAATTCTTGCACAACCCAGCGATGAATTCTTCTCAGATCTTCTTGGTTTGCTGAGAGAAAATGCTAACATTTTGTATGAGAAGATCAATGAGATCCCTTGCTTTACTTGCCCAAACAGACCAGAAGGATCAATGCTTGCAATGGTACCATCATTAAAGCTAAGAACATACATGAACAGGGTTCTTCCTGTCAAGGGAATGCTCTGTTTTCTAATGGGTCAAGTTTTAATTTGAAACAGGTGAAGCTCAATCTAGAACAGCTTGAAGGCGTCAGTGATGATTTAGACTTCTGTAACAAGGTGGCTAAGGAAGAATCTGTGCTCATTATCCCAGGTGGTTACCAACCTGAACACCTTCGATATTAACATTCCACCTCGGTTGGGGAGGAGAACGAAACACTTTTTATAAGTGTGTGGAAACCTCTCCCTAGCATACGCGTTTTAAATACTTTGAGAGGAAGCCCAAAAGGGAGAGCTCAAAAAGGACAATATCTGTCAGCGATAGGCTTTGTCCTTTACAATTAAAAGCGTGGAAGTTATTAATGAAATTATTGGGCACAGGTAGTGCTGTAGGGATGAAGAACTGGCTGCGGTTGAGCTTTGGCATTGAGCGCTGTTCCATTGAAGATGGTGCGGCGAGGTTGAAAGCCTTCTATGAGAGGCATGCAAGACCCAACAACCCTGCTGCTTCCCCACTTGTTGAATAAGACCCAACAACCCTGCTGCTTCCCCACTTGTTGAATAAGACCTATTTCGGGTCGGGTTGGATAGTCATTCGGTCTATGATGATTCGATTGATGCTTCCTGGGGGCAATAATGTCTTTGAGAATGCCTATAATATTTAAATATAAAAAAACTAATTACAATAAAATCTCGGGCTCTATAGATTTAAAATTTAGGGATTTATTAATTATTTATTAGAAAAAAAATTAAAATTAAATGTAGGTACTGGAAATTTTTATGTGCAGCCATTTTTTAAGATATATGGACTTATTTGATGCAAAACATACAACTTTAGGGACTAAATTGTAATTTGAGTAAAGAATTACATTCTTATTATTATTACTCGAGAATCGTACAAAAATGAATATATATTAAAACTCATAATTATTTTTATAATTTTATTTTTAAAAATCTTATTTATGTTCTCTAATTTCCGTCAAATTATATATATAAATTGATTGATTAATTAATTTTAGAGGAACGAGAATTAACCTAAATTATAAAATTTACATTTATGTAAATGAAATCTAAGTTTAATCCAATTATATTTATAATTGCGAGACCTGACAAAGAAAATTCTTTAAATTATTCCAATTATAAAAATAAAAAAAAATGTTACCGTTGGAAAATTTGAAAATTTGAAAAAAAAAAAAAGAAAAGACAAAGTGAAACGGTGTCGTATTAGAATTGCCTCCAACGGCACGATGAGGTTCAGTGGGTGGGCGGGCACTAGCAAGATCTCCCTTTTACAGAGTTCTTCCTTCAAAATCAAAATCAAAATCGAAACTCCATCAGTTCTCAAAATCTAAGACCCTCTGATCGTTACGATTCAGAAGTAAATTGTTTGAATCTTCTCCATGGATTTCACTCCTCCATCTCACAGATCCGAGCCTCGATCTCGCACAAAATCAGCCTCTCGCCTCGCAATCGAAGGCGACGAAATACCCCATTTCTCCGTCGACGCCATCTCTTCGCCGCCCAAGAAATCCCCTTCACCTTCCATACAAGACCTTTTGCTTCTCTCTCCTTCCACTCTCAGAAAATCCAGGTCTCGTCTCGTGGATCGCTTCGAAATGAACGACGAGGTTACAGACGCCGCCGCCGCCGCACGCAGAAGGTGTAAAACTCGCGGCCCCCAAATAGGTTGTGCTTCTCCGAGGAGCGTGAGAAGGTCTAGAAGACGATCGGAAATGGAGATAAGAGAAGAGAAGGATTTGTGTTTGGCGGAAGAGTTCGTGAAGGCTAGAAAACGAAGGCCGAGTGGGAGATCGAAGAAGGAGAAGCTGAGTTTGGTTCCAGTTCCAACGTCGCCGATAAATTCAACTCCAAGTAATTCCAAGATTTCTCTATTCTCTTTTACTTGATTTTCTCGATTGATTTGCGTTCTTCTCTGTGTTCTGATTTGGCTCGTATGTGTACTATAGAACTTGATAATGATGAGAATGGTAATCTGGATCGAATTGGGCAACTCATAACTGATCTGATCATGTGGAAAGATGCGACGAAATCCAGCCTTTGGTTTGGATTTGGCTCTTTGTTTTTCTTATCCTCTTGCTTTGCAAGAGGAGCTAGCTTCAGGTCTGGCTCTCTAATCCTTAATCATTGTAGCTTTCTACAAGTATATGATCATTCAAGAACAGTTCTAATACCGATAATTACAGCATTTTCTCAGCGATTTCCCAGCTTGGACTTCTGTTTTTGGGTCTTGCATTTGTCTCCAATTCAATCTGTCGAAGGTACAGTTTCTTGACTATAATCAATCGCATCAAAACCCCACCAATCTTCGTTCTTGATTGAATATATGAATTTGTAGGAACAATGTGGAAAGGAAACATAACGATTTCAAGCTTAAAGAAGATGACATCCTACGCATGGCGAAATTGATTCTTCCAGCTGCAAACTTCGCCATTGCTAAGATAAGGGAGCTTTTCTGTGGAGAGGCAGAGATGACCCTGAAAGTAACCACAAAACTCCTCATCTTTGATCATTCAATAATGTCTATTAACCAATCATTTGAACGCTTAAATGATCCAAAACTTTCTGGGATTGCAGGTAGCTCCATTCCTCATTTTAGGAGCTGAGTATGGACATCTTATTACACTTAGAAGACTTTGTGCAATTGGTATAAACTATAACAGAGTCCATTTCAAAACTTGCTTAGAATTCTCTATTGATTTAACCTCCTCCATATGCATACAGGGTTCTTTACCAGTTTCTCTGTGCCAAAGCTATACTCATGTTACCAAATTCAGATTAACAGCAAAGGTAAATAGAAATTCTAGGAACACCCACTTAACAACATTGCTGCTTCTGCATTTTGTATTGTAATATGATGCTGATGAAAATCATGGGGTTCGAGTTTTTATAGTTGATGTCGTGAAGCGACGGTTGTTTGAAGCATGGAAAGCTTGCTCACATAAGAAGGTTGTGGTAGGATCAGCAGCCACAGTGTTTTGGAACCTTTCTTCCCTAAAGACACGAATTTTCACAGGTGAAATTCTTTGAGATGTTGTCAATGTGTTCATTTTCCATTCAGGAAACAATGATTGTTAAGCTGTGTAAGATTTTTTTTTGTTGCAGCTTTCATAGCTGTAGTTATAGTTCGATACTGCCGGCAATTTATAGTGCTGGCACCGGAAGTTGTACAAGCACAAGAAGAGGAGAACCAGGCGGTGGTTCTGGTAGAAGGGAAGGAGGAGGAGGAGGAGGAGGAGGAGGAGGAGGAGCAGAAGCAGGCTCTGGTGGTGGCGGAAGCCCATGGCCAGCCTTGATTTTGGCTTTATCATATTGTAATAATAGAAATGGCTGTGTGTTGTGTTCGAGCTTAAATTTCATCGATTGATTCAAACAAACATCTTGTGCTCAGATCAGCAGAAGCTGTACTCTGTCTAAGAAAAGGAAAAGTTCTACAGATCAACGAGTATGAAATGAATGGTCGGTAAGGATCATCTTAACGAGTCTCGTTTATTGATACTCGATCACTTTATTTGTTTATGTAAAAAGCAAAGCTCTATTTATTCATATTTTGTTTTAATGAATTGAGAGTCGAGAGCAAGTAATAAATTTCTTGATATTTTTCCATTTCATGAAGCTTTTTTTGTTCTTTTATTTCTATTCAACTACATACAAATAGTTATATTATTTTAATTTAAGGGATAGTGGAACTTGAAATCGTCTTTGAATAAATAGAAAAAAAAATGGATCGATATTGATCCAAAGTAGTTTTTTCTTTTCTGATACACAAAGTATCAAATTATTACCAAGGAAACACACCATTTTGCACTTACTTCAACAACGGAAGCATAGGTTCCTTGGATAGAAAAGAATCGAAAGAACGCAATCTTAATGTCCTACTACATTTAGTAATTCTTGAACTATTTCTTCTGAAGCTTAGGTATTTCAATCGCAATAACAAATTCTTGAACTATTTCTTCTGAAGATAGGTATTTCAATCGCAATACCAGAAGGGTGTGTTTTTTCTCCTTTCCTCAGAAAAAAAAATCACTCAATTTTGTTAGACAGTTGAGCTCAATTTTTCAAGAAAGAAAAATCAGGACAGTTTTTCTTGAACAAGAAAGACCACTTTCATGTCAAAAAAGGTCAACTCAGTAATAACCAATTTTCTTATACCTTTTTTGGTTCACTTTCCTTCTTAGTTTAGAAGGATGAGGATAAACAACACTAAATATGATTTGGAAACACAGTAATACATACAGAAAAGCCATGGAAAAACTAAATGAAGAAAAGTAACCTCCAATACTAAATAATACATACAGAAACCTTATCAGGACAAAATAATTCGAATTCCAAGCTACCAATAAGCTCCACGAACTCCCACTATGCATTTTTTGGAGGCACTGCCTAGCTATGAATGGCATACCTTTTCAGTCATACTTCCAGCTTTCACAGATCTTATGGATCAATAAACGGAAAATCTAGACATGGGAATACAAAATCAATATGTATAGGCTAAAATAAAGTAGTTGGTCACCATTTTCCACGCTAAGCGAAACAGCCAGTGGTATGTTCATAAATCTTCGCAGGGCAGAGTTCGGCCAAGATACTCGGTTATCTAGACTGCAAGGAGCTTTTGTGTGCTTCTTTTTCACCCATTGGACGAAGCTTAGAGGTTGATTCATGTCTTCACTTTATGTACTTGCTTGATGTTGAAAACTGAGACCAATCTGTCTTCGCACATACTCTGGTAGCAGCCTGCTGATCAGTTCAGGGGATGCTCCAGCTAACTGCAATAAGGTAATAGATTGAAATGTCAGTTTGAAATGCTTCCCGGAAGGGTTATGTTTGCATTTGAAAGTACTATTGTTCAAGTGAGAGGACAATTCACAAAGGAGCAGAACAATGTTTCCTGTCAATTGAACAAACCCCACATCCAGGTAAGCCTCACAAGTTACCAAAACTTGAGGACGTAGAAGTTACAGGTGAACGTATTTTTATCCCGATGTAGATGAGAATACACACGTGTAGCTTAAGTGTCGCAAGTCGAGCAAAAAGAATCTGATGGGTGGGTGATCACGTTAACAGGCAAGCAAAGGAGGCTTTTGAACGGTAGAAAGAAGTATTCAACAGTCTTGTAATTAGATATCCTCCACGTACATGATGAATTAGTTGTATGAAATTTAAATGACATCGTCATAAACAAAGAACAGCCTAATGGCCTATTATCTCCATCTCCTAAAGAGAAGTCTGGATTTAACCTAAGCAATATTTTAAGTTTGTTAGCAATAGGAAATAAAATAAAAGGTTAACGTACTTCTTGCTTAAAGTTGAATAAAGGGGGAAACGGACGGTTGTTAGGGAGGCGGACATTAGGATCCCGTAGCTCATCAAAGAAGGGATGCGCACATGCTTCCAGCTGCAGTAAATAGGAAGAAAAGATAAATAAAAGCCAACAACCATCACCAGCATCACGAACAGAAATTCCCTTGATATCCATATACCAAACTCCTGATTAGGCATATTTTTAGCAAGATAAAAACATGATTCGATGAAATATGCTAACTGCAAAAATATGTTTCACGAATTACAGTATAAGACTGAAATATGATGAGAAAAAAAAAACATTTGCATTGCATGTAACCTAGAACTATAATGAAGAAGAGTGAAAAATGGTTCAACTCACAGCTGTGCAGCGAAGACTAGGAGAATACTGAAGCAGACGTGAAGCAAGGTCAATAGCTTCAGGAGGCATTCGTTTGTGAAAAACCTAAACAAAAGAGAATCATTTCGATTGGAGAAATGTTGGAGCAAGAGATAGGCAACACAAAAGTATTCTAGACAATAAAGGTAGGGAAAATACTGCAGAGCTAACGATAAATCAATCAGAGAGGAATACAGAATACGAGGAAAGATTTTGGGAAATTCGAACACCCACATCATGTAAAGTACTGAGCTTATATCTAAATTACATGAGTACATGGATAGATAACTAGAGCTACTTGACAGTGCAACTAATATAAATATAGTGAAGTTATTTTTAAAGAAGATTTAAACATCTCTTTGACACTAAGTTTTCTTATGATATTTACGAGCTCCATACAGATGTTTCTAATCATATTTCCATGTCATACAGAAAAAATAAATTTAAATTGGACCCACTTGATTGAATGGGTCAATGCCGAAATGTATACCTTGTGCCATGGATGGGCTTTAATCTGAGGGAACCTGAAGTCTGTGTAATTTGGATTCATGCATCGAATTTCTTCCCGAGTAGGAGTACCAAGAACCTATAAGAAATTAAAAAGAATATGAGATGAAGCTTCATTTCTGTGGTTTTAAAATTAACTTACAACTAAGGTATTACCTTGATTATCTCTACAAGTTGGTCCACTGCATTCTCCCCAGGAAACAATGGCTGTAACAAATCAGAAAGATTAGGAAAAGGAGAAAGAGTAGAAATACCGATTGAGGGAAATTATAAGAATTTTTTCTATCCCTACTTGCCACCAAAGTCACTGACCTGGCCTAGAAGGAGTTCGGCAAGGACACAGCCAGCCGACCAAATATCAATGGAGGTTGTGTATTCTGTTGCACCAAATATGAGCTCTGGAGCTCGATAATATCGTGAGCATATATATGATATATTGGCTTCACCCTTAATCTGAAAACAGAAGAGTAAGGAAAAGTGTCATTGGAGCAAGAACATACGGCAGTAAATTATTCAAATGGCAGTCCTAAAATTTTTCACACTAAGAGGATGAAGGGAAACAACCAAACCAATCAACAAAGCTCAATAATGATGTTAGTATCTTTATAAGCTGTGGACTTGTGGAACTCATTGCTTAGCTTTTAGGAGCCCAAATATTGTTTCTCACTTGGTGGTGGTTCCTCTAACATGGTACTTATTTTTAGATGATATTTGTAGAAGACATTATTTAAATTTTGTTGATGTTTTTTTAATGTTATTTAATTTTTTTTATTTTTTTCTCTTTCTAATCATACACCAAGATGAGTCAGATGATGGACTAATTTATAGTTAAAAAAACTAGTGCTCGGAACAGTGGACTTTTTGCTATTATTACCAACCATCAGTCTATTCATAATATATGAAAATATTGATAAATTATGTCTAACAAGAAAATTTGAAATTATAGAGGCAGAGCATACCAGTACTTTTGCGCTTCCAAAGTCACAAATCTTAACCTGATGTGTTAGAGTATTAACCTGCAATTTCCAAAAGTTTCAAATGCATAGTTCCACCTTAGACTGAGAAGAACTAAGGGGGAAAAGGCATACCAAAAGATTTTGCGGCTTCACATCCCTATGGCAGACCCCAGGAACCGAATGAATATATGCAAGGCCCCTAAAGATCTGAAAATTTTATTTACAACTGTGTGTTAGCGTATAAGCAAAATCCATCCAAAAATCACACATTGTAAATTAAATGATATGTCATACTTGATATGTGTAAAGTTTGACGTAGATGAGTGGCATCCTCTGGTTCATGCTGTTGTAGTGCTTGAGAACATGATACATATTTTGGGGAACATACTCCATAACCAAATTCAAGAAAAGTTCATCTTTACTAGTTGTAGAGAAGAAGCAATGCTTAAGAGAAACCACATTTGGGTGATCCATCAGACGCATTAGTTGCAACTCCCTGTTTTTATAACGCTTATCCTGCAAAACCTTCTTTATGGCAACTGTTTCTCCTGTTTCCAAGCATTTTGCCTGAACAAGGGATGACAAACTTCAAACATACAGAAAAAGCCCAAACTTTGTCATGTGGTGATATATAACTATATCTTACCTGGAATACAACGCCAAACGAACCACTACCCACCACACGCTCAGCCATGTAACTGATTGTCTACATTACAAGCCAGGAAAAGTCAACATCTCAGCATTTCAATATTTCAAGATTAATTTTGACTACATTTAAGATTTTTAGATCGCTATAAAGTTGTATTTAAACAAATGAACCATATGTTAATAAAGTAGGTTAATAAGGATATACTGCCCCATAATAAATTTTGTGAGGTGATGGGAATGAGATTTTAACCTGTTTTGGTTCACCGTTTTTGCCACCGATTGTAGTGGAAATGATGTGACCAGTTACTGCATCATTCCCTTCAATCACTGCAGCTGACATTTCCTGGAATTTGTAGCATAAAGCATTGTAAATAAGGTGATATATACCAGATGCATAAGGGATACATGAAACATAGAGAGCTCATGCACGTGTAAGCCTGTGAGAGTAAAACGTCAAGCCTATTTTATTGTGAATAAGAGAAGAGAACAGTTTGTAAATAAAACATTCGTGCACTTGAAAAATTAAGTATCAACAATGTTTTACATGATTACCTACATTTAACGAAAAGCATACCTAATATCAAGCAACCTGAGTAGGAACTCCAACTAATATTCTAAGAAATAGAGTATTTGTTGCTCTCAGTTCCTAGAATCCCATGCGAGGAACCTCCTCTATATTAAACGAGAAGGGAAATGTACACAAATACAAAACTAACTTTTACAGTAATTAAGTAATTGGTGTGTCAACTGAAAATTGATGATGGTGTTTTGGGATTTGTGATAAGGATCGGAATGCATCTGAAAGAGCTGAAGACGGGTCTCAAAATCTAGGGTAGAAGACAGATTAATGTATCCAGAGCAACGTCTTGGGGAAGCAAAATAGATAGCTATGACTTACAAGAAAGCATCACATGCTAGGAAGAGCTCGAATCACATGCTAGGAAAAGCTTGCATCTCCACCCAAGGAACTAAGGAGAGAATCAGCCATTAACGACTTCCCAAAGCAAATTATAATGGTTTTTAAAAAGATTTATGGAAGAGACCAACCGTAATTAAAAGAAGTAAAAAAAGAATCAAGATTACAGAAGATGAAACAATAACCAAGACTACTAAGTTCGCAAAAAAAATTGGAGTGAGCAAGGTGTTTATGAAACATCAATTAGATGATTAATTTACCATACGAAGTTTAATTCAGACACCGTTAGCACACAGTTCCAGTTAATCATCCAATCTATGACGTTAGAAGGGGAAAAAAAAGCTAAGGATGCAATCCTACAAATCACTCCTCGGTTCTCAGAGAAATTAAACTAATAGAAGACACTACGAGAAAATTGAGCCCCTAGCTTAGACGCAAGATCTCAGTTAAATACTCGATCAAATACTAGACTAAATATTTCACCAATAATTTGGCAACAGATCGAACAAACAAAAATGAGCCTGAAAATATCTCGAATCAGTGACGTAAACAGGTCAATAATCGCCGGAGAGAACTTCCAGCTACTAATCCAGCCTTCCAATCGAGCAAAGAAACTACCAAATCACAGTAGATCGCTCTTAACTTAGCAAGAAACAATGATCTCGAGCTGGATCGGGCACAAACAGAGCATCAACAGAAGCAAAACATCACATAGAGAAAAATCACCTATCACACACAGACTACAACAGACACAAAGCAAGAAAGAGGAAGAGAACCTTATCGGTGTCCATTGCTGAGGCACGGTGAGCGTTGAGATTTAGACGGTCATTTTCAGGTTGAGAAAGTTGTAGCAGCTGTGCTTGTGGCTGTGGCTGTGACTGTGACGGTGGCTGTAGTGGAGGTTGATGCCGAGGCCCTAATGGCAAGGTAGCCATGTGAGAGTAGAGCTCTCTCTCTCTCGTCCTCTCTCTCCTCTATCAAATTCTCTTTCTTTCCGATTTTAGTTTTAATATTCTTTTATTATTAATTATCTAATTTCCTCGTCTCGTTAGGAAATATATAGTGTAGACCCACGCGCGAATTTTCGCGGCGGAAGCAGCACGCTCCAATCACAGACCTCCATTGCTGTCTTATCTAAGTCCGAACCAAAATTACAATAATCTACTGCAACGCGGTGTACTACAACTCCCATACACCCTCCTCGAAACCCTTCGACAACTATCACATGGAAATGGAACCCAACGGTTCGTTTCACCACCAATCATTCCTTCGTAAACAGTGACACAAATAGCTTATTAATATTTTAATTAAATTTCTCTATTTTCTTTTTTTTTTTATTTCCAAAATTATAAATAATATTATTATTTTAGTTCATATTAACCTCTCTTGCTCATTGCTAACGGATATTATCAGATTTGGCCCGTTAGGTATCTCTAACAGTCTCATAATTTTAAAATGCGTCTATTACAGAAACGTTTTTACGCGCTTATAAAGAATGTTGTATTCCTCTCTCCAATGGAAAGGTGTGCGCGAGGATGATGGCTCATATAGGGAGTGAGTTGTAAGATTCTCATCGGTTGAAGAGAGAAACAAAACATTTAGGTTCGGTCACATTAGATTAATCTCATTTCATAATTCTTAGTGTTTTTCTTGGATGTTTTTACTAAATGTGCGTAACCAACTGTGGTTTCATTATTTGAGTTTCTTTTAGACCCACGTTGAAAAAATCAATGGAAATAAACTGAACTCAAGTGAGAAGATACCAAAAGAAAACCTTCAGTACTACATTGAGCAAAAAAAAGCTATTAAATATTTGTATTTGACCTGCTCTGCAACTAAAATGACCGCATAGAGCCTACTCATCTCAAAACAACGCACTAAAACGGTCAAATTCAAAACAATTTTAAACTATAGAGATTAAAATAGATATTTTTAAGGTAACTAAGGGAATATATTATTTTATTTTATTCCACTCGAAATATATCATATTAAAATGATTTAGAGAAAAGGGAGCACCTGAAATAATTAGAATTTGGATGCAAAAATCTTAGAAAATAGGGAGAGAGGAGCCCATTCATTATGCGCTCCATGTGCCTAATGCATGGAAAATGGACCCATGTGCTACTCTTCTTGGTACCACTTTGTTAGAATGAATTAAAGAACATGTCATCCATATTAGATGTGCATATTTTGATTACATTGACTAAAAATTCCACAATTTGAAATCTTCACATGCATTGAAATGATTTGTTCTTCCTATAATCATAGGTCAAAATAGGATAAAAAGATTCTTATCTGCAAGACTTAATCATTACATATGAACTAAAGACCATCTGTTAGGGGAGGTTTCCACACTCTTATATAAACAATGTTTCGTTCTCCTCCTCAACCGATGTAATATCTCACAATTCACCCCTCTTCAAGATCTAGCATCCAACGTCTTCGTTGGCACTCATTCCCCTCTCCGATCGATATGGGATCTCACAATGCACCCACCTTCGAGGCCCAACGTTCTCGCTGGCGCTTGTTCTTCTCTTCAATCGATGTGAGATCTCATAATTCACCCCTCCCCCCCTCCTTTCAGGACCCAACGTTTTTGCTAGCACACCACCAAGTGTCCACCCCCTTCAAGACTCAACGCCCTCGCTGGCACGCCACTCGGTATCTGGTTCTGATACCAATTGTAACAGCTCAAGCCCACCACTAACAAATATTGTTTCTTTGGACTTTCCTTTTCGGGCTTCCCCTCACAGTTTTAAAACGCGTCTACTAAAGAAAAGATTTCACACTTCATTCCCTCTTCAACCGACGTGGGATGTCCCAGTCCTGATAAATATGTCATTTCAATGAATAAAACTTATTATAAACTACTTTTTGTCTTGATTTTTTTTTTTGGGGGACTTAAGGTACAAAGGTGGATGATTAGTTTATTGGCAGATAATAGGAAAAACTTCAAGCTTACCATTTTTCAGGGAAAAAGAAACTTGGTGCCCACTCAACATAAGCCTCTAAAGCCTCAAAGGCTTGGAAGATCAGAGGCGTAAATTATAATAATGCCTTGAATTTCGCGCATCAAGGAAAGAATATGTATACAACTTGGGGATAAAAACAAGCACTCAGCTCTTTTTCCTTCAACGGCTAACATGAAAAGGAGAGGAGCGAGCAAATGAAGGGTATGGCAGAGAGTTTTGATTATTCTGTTAGGTTAATGTCATCTCTAGGTGTCAGAAATGGCAAAGAGAACATATGCCTTATCAAGTCTCTGTTCTTATTATTCAATGCCAAAGAGAACCTATGCTATGCCTCACACGACAAGATTACTTTTAGTTTGAGCTTCGAACAACACTTGGCTATAACAAGAAGCTATTGTAAAAGGCAATCTCTATAGAATATTGAGTATGGAGAGCCCTTTTCTTAATATCAGGTAAAATGGGTAAAACTATTAGAATGGATTCAAGATTTTCGGAGTTGATTTCAAACTAGGGAGTGATCAGTTATCACTGAACGAACAAGAACCATGTTAATTAATTTGGGCCAACACCATTCCATTCCCTCCCTAGTGCAGTTTTGCAACAGCAGGAGCAGCTAGTACTGCTCGAACTTGGACTGATCTTTTCAATCGGGGGTGTGGGGGAGTTATGGGGTGTGTATTGTCGAGGCCCAAGTCCATCGCTAGACGCTAGAAGGTATTGTCCACTTTGGCCCGTTACGTATCACCATCAGTCTCCCAATTTTAAAACACATCTACTAGGAATAGAAAGAGGTTTCCACACTCTTATAAGGATGGTTTCGTTCCCCTCTCCAACCGATGTGGGATCTCACAATCCACCCCTCTTGAGGGCCCAACGTCCTTGCTGGCACACCGCCTGGTGTCTGGCTCTGATACCATTTGTAACAGCCCAAGTCCATCGATACCAGATATTATCTGCTTTGGCCCATTACGTATCGCCGTCAATCTCACGGTTTTAAAACACCGTCTCCTAGGAAAAGGTTTCCACACCCTTATAAGGAATGTTTCGTTCACCTCTCCAACCGATATGGGATCTCACATCCAAACTGGACCAATGAATGGTTTAATCACCATTTATTATGACCCATTCCAGTCAAGAAGAGGATATATGTGCTGACCAATACCAACCTTGACTAGGTCAGTTCAATCAGATTTGTCAGATGTCGGATTGTTTATGTACGTGCAGCCATCTAATTCAAATAAGCTTAATTCTGCTATGGAAAGTGCACCCAAAACTTCAAGTAACTAACGCAACATGAAAGGCATGATGTTTATTTATTTCCAGGTAAGAACTTACCAAGACACTGCAACAATACTTATACAGGCACACGAAAAGGGTCAAATATAATTACACTTAAAACCATGGTAGGGTATGAATTTTTGCGCATGGTTCAAGCAAAGGCTTATCTAGAACTCAATATTTAACTTTCTAGATACTATTTATTTCTTCCCACGCAGTTTTGCTCCAAGAGCTCTCTCAAGTTTGGTTATTATTTGTTGATTTGGAATAGCTTTTCCAGATTCATACTCCTGGATAACTTGAGGCTTCTTATTAATAAGCTACAGGGGATGAAAATAATAAATCAGGCAATCACTAACACATACGTAGAATAGGGACGAGCAACAAGAGTGTGGGACAAACATACTTGAGCAAGCTGAGTCTGAGTAAGCTTCTTCTCCGTTCGAGCTTGCATAATTGCTTTCTTCAGCTCAGTTGGTACTCGGTCATCTAGGGTCGAAATAGAACATAGTTAACAAAATAATATGTATCTATTTGGTTCGTAAACTTCAATTCTTTGATCTGTTCATTATTTTTTAAAATTTATGGTCTAACTAGTAAGTCTTTGATCTATTCATTATTTTTTAAAATTTTTGGTCTAACTAGAATTGTTTAAGGTCCTATTCATTTCTTTGTTTTGTTATCTACTTTTAGGAATACTTTCAAAATCTCGACTAAGTTTCGAAACCTAAAATAAGTAGTTTTGTTCTCAAATTTTGGCTAACCATTCAAATCTTCCCTTAAAAAATGATTAAACCATGGTAAGGAACTTGTTTTGACAAGTACAATTTGCAAAAATCAAAGGGTGATCACACAAGCTTTTACTCCTAAAAGTCCTAAAAGTAAATGAGATAGTATACATAACGCTATGAAACCAGGGAAAACAATAAAATTTATCCAACTATGATACGCAAGTGTAATATCAGAAGAACTCACGAGTAAGGTTCTCAGACTCTTCGTCAAGCTTCCTGGTGTTCAAACTGTTAGACGAACACGACTCTCCACAATGGTATGATATTGTCCACTTTGAGTGTAAGCTCTCATGGCTTTGCTTTGGGCTTCCCCAAAAGGCCTCATACCAATGGAGTTAGTATTCCTCACTTATAAACCCATATAAACCCATGATCATTCCCTAAATTAGCCGATGTGGGACTTTCATCATCCAACACCTCCCCTCGAACAAAGCACGCCTCCCCTTAATCGAGGCTCGACTCCTTTGGAGTCTTAGTCATTTTTGACTGCCTTCGTACCTTCGAGGAGGCTTGACTCCTTTTGGAGTCCTTTGTTCGACATTTAAGGATTTGCCAATCTATTGGCACGGCTAAATTTAGGGCATGGCTCTGATACCATGTTAGACGAACCCGACTCTCCACAATGGTATGATATTGTCCACTTTGAGTGTAAGCTCTCATGGCTTTGCTTTGGGCTTCCCCAAGAGGCAGATTTGTTTGAGCCAGCAGCAGCTGCAAAAGCCAAGAAAAGTATCATTGCAATGCAATCCAATATTTCACTCAATGAATCAGACTCCTTACGAGTTTTGAACAAACATAAGGAGAATATAGGGGGCTCAGACAGATGGACATAGCCAATCCCAGTGGCCTCCCAAGACTCATTATCATCACATCCCCATTCAACAGTTATCATCTCCCGCAAAAATAGATTTCAACGTCAAAACAAAAACAAGAACACAGCAATTGGAGTTTCAATAAGAAAATCAAGGAGACTGAACGCACATTTCTTTATGGTCTCAATCTCCGCCCCGGCTCGCCGAGCAGCATTGACGGCTTTCTCATCCTTCTAGGCCGCCGCGTTCGGTGCCTTCTTCCTGAGGACCACCGTTTCCCAATCCTGTGAAAGTGGTACGATTCCAGCCATATCTAGTCTCCTTTTCTCCTTTCAAGAGGTTCCTCGCTCGATAGTACGCAGAATCTGGATGGGGGACTTCTAGTCGGCCATATAAAAAAGTCTGGATAGCTTGGAGGGCACGCAGTCAACTCACGCCATTACTCAATTCGCGTGATGAACAATTAAGAAAAAAACACGTCGGTCTCGCGGGTCCAAAGAATCGGGTTCCCGTATTATCCGAACCACCCGTTTTCCAATTTCCTTTTCGAGCCCATCGTCGTCATTTCCATATTAGGTAAGACGTTGAAAATTTTTCAAAAGATTTTTTTTTTTTTTTTTTTTGACAATTTACCCTCAAATTTGTAATTTTTAAGATTAATAAATCTATTTTCTTGTGTTAAACACTAAAATGTTCGGTTAAAGCCATATGAACCAAGCATTGAACCCTCACGTGGTTGGGTGTCACGGTCATACTTTAGTCAAGGTCCTTGCATGGCTGAAAATCTCAACGTTATAGTCACAACATACTCTCTTTGTGACACTCAATGGGGAGATTTGAGTAGCTCTAGTCGTAGATTGGACCACTTTACAACAAAAGGACTGGACAACGTTTTAATTGTCAAACTCGAAAAACAAAGGGAAAAAACTAGTCGTTTGAGGAAAAACAAGCTTCGTGTATCTCGATTAGGTCTAAAGTCAAATGATCTTTATGGTTTTTTAAATTAAAATAATTAACTTTTATTTAAACCTTTAAAATGTGATAGTCTGTATAGAATAAAATATTTAAATATAAAATAAAAACAACTTTAAATAAATTATTGAGTGTAAAATTGTGACTAATAGAATAAAATATAATTTAAAATTTAGTAAAACAACAATCACTTCTTAAACGACTAAAATAGACATTTTGAAAATTTGCCGACTAAAATATGCATAAATTAAAACTATAATTGTTAAGACTAAACTTGATATTTTAAAAATATATATAAATTCAAATAAATAAATAAATGTTAAAAATTTAAATAACATTCGAGTCTTTTTATATTAAATGTGCATTTAATTTATTTATTTATTTAAGTAGTATTTAAGTATGGGAAATGTGTTTAATGGATTAAAATATTATAATCGAATTTAAATTAACTCTACAAATTATTAAACTAAAAAATGAAAAAAAAAATTAAATTAGATTTCATTTCTTAGTTTAAGAATTTAAAAATGCCTTTATTAATTTTCTATACTTAAAATTGAGTTAATTAACTTTTAAAATGAATTTATAATTAGTCTTGACAATAATTAGAATTTTAAAATCTACTTAAAATTTATTTTTGAACTTAAAACTATTCATAAATTGAAAATATTTGTGGGTTGAATCGAGTGGGGCCTTCTATAAAATAAAATTAATTGTTTTGGTTATAAATCTTTTTAATTTTAATTTTAATTTTTAATAAATGTAAAATATATTTTATTTATGTTTAAATATTTAATTAACATATATTTTTAAAATATATCTTATAAAAATTGAGTCCAGGCAAAAAAATAAAAAATAATGAAAAAGGAATGGTATTAATGACGTAATATTAATATAAAGCCATTCCGTCGTCTTCCTTCTTCTGATTCTAAGCTTGGGTGCGATCTCTCAGCTCGTTGCAGCTCCTCAGGTACCAAATCCTCCGACGACTTCCTTCTTTTTTCACTTTCTAAATCTCTTCCTTATTATTCTCCTTCCCTTTCCTCGCTCCCTTGGCTGGTCTTTTCAGATTATGGTTCTGTAAGTTTATGATGCTCGAAATTATACTACTACTGTGCTCTTTAATCCGTCTTTCTCTTCGATTATTGTTCTTATACCTACCGACTGAATTTCACATTTTCTAGTTCGTTTAATTGCTCTCTACTTCATCAGAATTTGGTTTTCCTCCTTGATGAGGTTTTCTAATTGTTCATATGGCAAGATGTTTACTGTTTTCCACTGTTCTTTCTTTATATCGCACTTGTATTGGTTCTTGAAATATGATGGAGGACTCGAGACATCTGGTTCGTGCTTAGGATATGATTTGTTGATTTCCGGAAAACGAAGAACCACGGTGTTTAGTTTCCTAATTCTTTAGTATTTCTTGCACTATCTTAGCTGCGATAGTGATAATTGATGCAACGAATAACTCAATTTGATTATCCTGTTTCTAAAGTTGATGATCTACTTGACGAACTTTATTGTTCCTTTACGCGTGGAAGAAGTACTGTGGATGGTTGTGGTTTTAATAACTCTTGTTATGCTCTTGAGCTGGTATTTCTATTTCGAACTTAGCCGATTTTTTTTTTTTTTTTCCGTGTTTAGGGGCCGATAAGTAATGTTAAAAGAGAGGATCCACTGCCATGCAGATCTATTCCTGTTGGCTACGTATGCAGAATAAGTTGGAGTTACCATCCTGTTATAGTTTTTATCATCATTATAGTTGATAAACGTCTTGTAAAGACGTTATCAGCTTACTGGCTTCGGGCTTCAGTCCTCTCAGTTAAGTTGGTATCGTCTTTGCGTCATGCCATATTACATACAGAGACTCTATAATACTTGTACATCTGCGTTGTCTCCTAATGGACCCGTGTCGGAAGAAGCCCTTGAAAAAGTTCGTGCCATGTTAGGTATGATATGATTTAAGTTCTACATTCAATTTTCATCCAATCCTTCTGTCTCATCTTATTTGACCAATCAAGATTTTAATTAGGATGTTTCATGAAATGGATTTACTTTTTATCACTGTCTTTGGAACCCTTCAGTGATATAACTATTATAGGATAATCAGAATTGAGGCTGTAGAGTTTTTAATGAACAGGTTCTACAATTACTTCATGAATTGGTTAATTTTAGATTTTAGTGTTAGCATGACCACAAGTCCAATTGGCTTACACTTTCTTCGAGTAGTGGATTGAGTCCCATTGAGCCAAGTGAAATTCTGCATTTCCTGGTTTTAGGAGTCTTAACTTGTTAGTATTATGGTGATTCTGAAAGCTATGCATCGTACATGGGGCATGCAACACACTTACTTTTTGGTTAAGTACTTTGGTTTAGGCTTAAAATGAAATTACTTACAAGCATAGCTTGAAATACATTTGTTCAAGTAATCTCATTAATGGCTTGAAGTGATATTGGAAATACAATGCAGCTATTTATTTTTCAGAGATACTATCTTTGTTTTCATCTTCACATGGTAAATATATTTCTAAAATTCATTTTCTTTGAACGTTGCATCAATGCTTTAGGTGCCCATCAATTGCCTATTTTGCTGTTAGTTTTGCACATTTAATCATAGACCATTTGATTGCAGAAAAAGTCAAGCCCTCTGATGTAGGTCTGGAACAGGAGGCGCAAGTCGTTCGTAATTGGCAGGAACCTGTGCAGGAACGTAATGGGAGACGGCAACCATTGCCACCAATTAAATACTTGCATTTGCATGAGTGTGATAGCTTCTCCGTAAGCATCTATGTTCCAATCATTTTATCATTGGGAAGTAAAATCCTTGATAATTACTTATTGATTGAAGACTTTTTCTAATGAAAAACAACTAGACTTATTCTTGGATGGTAAGAACTAAGTGAAATTCGCTATTATGAACTCTTTTGCAGATAGGTATTTTCTGTATGCCTCCAACTTCTATCATACCTTTTCATAATCATCCTGGAATGACGGTGTTGAGCAAACTAATTTATGGTTCCTTACACGTCAAGTCATATGACTGGTTTGATTTTCCAGGACTTGATGATATTTCCGAAGGTTTGTTACTATTACTTATTGTCATCCCATCCTGGCTTTGATTTTGTCGATTTCCTTATTCTATATACACATGCCTAGAGAATAAGCGTAAATGGAAGTTACCATTAATTCTCCCTCTGTATTAACCAATTCATGAAGTATACTCTTTTAGCATAGTCATACCTTTCATTTTTTTGATAAGGGAAAACATGCCTTCATTTTTTTACTTGGATAAGAAACAATTTCATTTCATTTATGTATAAAATTACAAAAGGGATGAAAAATCCAGGAGAACTACGAAAAACATTTCTAGTTGATTAAAAAGGAACCATAACTATATGAAGCAAAGATGTTAGACAATTTACACCAAGAGATAGGATAATAACAAACAAAATCAAAGAAAACATCCAGATGAACTTCCTTATCGAAGAATATACTTTGATTTATTTCCCCAAAAATCCCTAAAAACAAGCCCAAGACACGTTCATCCAAAGAGTAGCTTTGGCTTCTTTGAAGGGATGGACCACATGGACGTGATTGAGGAGATCTCTCAATCCATCGGAAGTACCGTTATTCATCCAAAGGAATTAAGAATTATGCTCCAATATTTAGTGAACAAGTGATTTTGAGTTTCTTCATTAGCTTTACATAAAGAGCACAGCTGGGGGATATGGCTCATAAGGCATACATTTTTGGAGGAGGTCTGTGACACCCATGACTAAGAAAAACTTAAAAAGGAAATGAAAGTTACCACCAATACCAACAAGGTGCATCTTCCTTTTCAGTGGCTCAATCATTGAAACTCCATAGTTAAACGTGTTTTACTTGGAACAATTCTATTAGCTATGTTGGGTGACCTCCTCAGAATTTTCCTTAAATGCATGTGAGTGAGGACAAAACATGCTAACAGGACTCGTGTTGGTCTATGGAGTTAGTCTTCACTCTTAAGAAGTGAGAAGTAGGTAATGCAACCATGTCGTAGGGGATGTAGAGGAATGTCGGGGCCATCAGGTGCCAAATTTGGATTTCGAATGTTGATCTAAACCCTAGGCATGGGTCGTTACAAATGGCATCAGAGTGATACTTTCCTAGTAAGATGTGGTTCAAGGATGAACCAAGGCAAAAATTGGTGGACATGTGACACGCGAATAAAGGGTTACATGAATGAACTGAGACCACATCCAAATGAAAGTGGTCCTGAGAATAGGATGACTAAGAAAAGTTTAAAGGAAATGAAAGTTACTACCTATACCAATAAGGTGCATCTTCCTTTTTGGTGGCTCAA